TGTCTGCAGTCCTGGCATTCAGTGTGGGAGACACAAAGCAAGTGGTGCTGTGTGATGCAGAGAAGGCAGAAATCCTCCACCTGTTCCCTGTTGAATACCCAGCATCCTGCATGCACTGGACGGAGGTGCACGGTGACAGCAGGTGTGAGTTTTTACATAGAGAGGATCCATTTTCTTTCTCTATTGATTACGTGGTTTCATTAATCTGGTTTATTTTTTCTTCTCTAGCACATTGTCCTCATTCAGCGAGTCTGAAGATGAGTCCAGTCGTTTTCTTCCAAAGTTACCCACTTTACCTAAGAGGTGAGATTCTGAACTTTTGTTTGTCTTCCAGATGGCTGAATGAGAAGTACTGGTCACTCTTTAGTTTTTATATTTTGTAATTGTTTTTATTACTTTTCCATTTTCCTTTGTGCTGTGTTTGTGTTCAGCTACAGCACCACATCAAAGATATTTAGGTAAGAGGACATTTTATGTGCTTAATATGCTGATTATTTGTCTTTTTCTTTGTCATACTCTTTATGATTGGTCATCTGCATGCGGCATGTGTCAGTGTGACTGTGTGTCCGCTCTGCTTAATTCTTATGTGTTATTTTTTTGTCTTTTGCAGTGAAGAGAAATCAGATGAAGTCACAAACCTTTTGGGGGAAGTGAGGTCAGTGTTTTATGCACTGATCTGCTTGGTTAAGATTGAGTGTTTTCTGATGTTGTATTGTGACTGATAATGTGTGATGTTTATTTGCAGGCTCAATATCCTGGTGGTGGGAGGACCATCTGGATTTGTGGAGCTGTATGCATATGGCCTGTATAAGATTGCTACGCTGAGTGGAGTAAGATATAACATTTTCATTAATAAAAATTAAGTAAATAAAGTAAAAAAAAAAAAAGAAAGTGAAAGCAGAAAGTTAGTAATGTATTATTTACTTCATGTGCCTCAGATCTCAGGGACGTGCCGTAGTCTTGGGCTGTCTAGTGACCTCAAGTCCCTCTCTGTTATTACAGAGATTAGATCTGCAGAAGACAACCCTGAGATACATTACATACAGGTAAAGTCTGAAAACACTAATAAACATTATTTTTATCCCAACATTGACATTGTCAGCACTAACGAAAAGGGAAAAAATGCTTTAAAAAACATGCCAGATTCTTAGAAATGTACTCTTTGTATTCATGTTGGTGTCATATGGTTCCGAAAAACATTTACACCATATTTAAGAACAGTTTATATGTAATGACTCTAAAAATCTTGTGGTGTAACTATGAAGTCAAAGTTATGATATATTTTTCTTACACCTTCATTACATGTGACTGTGACTATATTAGATTTCATGAATTAATAAATATCATTAGTTTTTTTAGAGAGGTTTTTTTTGCCATTATGATGTCAGGTCATATTTTGAACTTTATGCCCCAAAATAACATCAAGATGGTGGTTCAGTTACTTTCTCTTTTGTTAAGTCTGACAAATGTAACGTTTCAGTCCACAAAGTGCTGAATCAACACCATTTGAACTCCAGCAAATTTAATTATGATGTAATTATATCAGTACTATAAGTTTATGTAACTGTTATTTATTGAAGGTTGATGTGCAAGTAAACAAAGTGCAAATAGGTTGAGTCACACATAACCTTATACTACCAGGTTACATGTGGCGTCTGCATTGAATGGAATGTATGAGGTAGATATCAGTGGTTGACAGTGACTGTGTTGCAGCTGGACACTGGACTGCTGTCTTCATGTTTGCCTGAGTTGACCAAGATGGCACGCAAGTTTACACACATTTCCACGCTGCTACAGGTGAGAGTCATCACTGGCGTCTCATAGAAGCTGTATCCTTTTTTTATGCACACAGAGTATCTTTCATTCTCTTTCTTTGTTGTTTTAGTATCTGCGTCTCTCTCTCACCTGTATGTGTGAAGCATGGGAGGAAATTCTTATGCAGATGGACCTTCGCCTCACTAAGTTTGTCCAGGTTAGAGTTCATCACATGCGAGGCAATCACAAACAAGCCTATAAAAGACATCAAACGAGATGGCATTCATTAGTCTTTAAACACCTACAAGTGCAGTAATGGACTGTGATCCATTGATGCCATCGTAAATGGCTCTGTTTGTCATTTATTAGAGTTCTAAGAGACAGTTGATGGTTTCTCTCAATGAATGATAATGTTGTTTTACAGGAAAAGAACACGAGCACTCAGGTTCAAGATGAGTTTCTGGAGCTACTGTTATGGGGTCATGCCAGGTGCACAATTCATAAATGATAGTTTTTGAAGAGCACATACTGTCATATTACAGTGGCAATTGTGGCGTTAAGCTGTGGTGGAAAGAGTGGTGTTTGTTGTACATTTTAAGTTTCTGTTTATTCTGTTTGCAAAATAATTTTTTTCACATGAGTAATGTTTGTAAAATCACATTAATTTATAATATTTGACTATAATGAACCCATAATATTTATTTAATATAAATATTATTTATATATATAAATCATAATGTTTAATATTTATTATTTTATTTTTTTAACGCATTATTTAATATAACATGTTTTAGATTAAATATAATTAATATTTTTGCAAGCTTAAATCTACTTATGCTTGTGTTTACTTTATATGGCCAGCAGGAGGCACCATATGTTCTTACATTTATAGCTACAGTCAGAATTACAAAACATACATAGGATATAATAGAAATAACAAGTATACAGGCATGCAAAATGAATGTATGTGTGGGAATGTTTAAGATCTGGATAAACAGGAAAACAGCTTTGCAGGTGTCTGTTGGTTTTGTAGATCTCAGCCTGGGTTGGACACTTTTTAGCTTATCTGATAATGTGTTGTAGGTATTTTTGAGTATTCTTTAGTACAGGGATCCTCAAATCTGGCCCACAAGATCCACTTTCCTGCAGAGTTTAGCTCTAACCCTAATCAAACACACCTGAGCATGCTAATCAATGCCTTCTGGATCATTAGAAAATAATGATAACAGGTCACAGGTAAGTAAGTTTGATCAGGGTTGGAGCTAAACTCTGCAGCGCATTGGCCCTTCAGGGCAAGATTTGAGGAACCCTGCTTTAGTATAACCAACCCAGACAATGATATGATAGATATTTTTGTAGAACTGTGTATATATATATATATATATATATATATATATATATATAAAACTTTAAGATAGTCAAAGCCTAGTGTCCTGCCTTGCTGCAACTAATATTCAATTATACTGAAATGTTTTTTTATTGTTACTTGCTGGTATTGAATGAAGTTCATTTACAATCAACATTCTTATTTTAGCCATAATGGATTTTTTTTTCCCATGTGGTGGCTGTTATCAGCTTGCATATCAGGAGTGTGCCTAAAATGCCTTAAAATGCGGCCTCATTATGTTTTGGAACAGATTAATATTGTTTTTGTATTGTGTTGTAACAGTTTTTGCTTTTCACAGCAATGCTTCGTATGTCAGAAGATCACGTTCCTCCTGAGCTTAACAAGGTGTGATATCAGAATCAGAAATCAATAGACATAAAGAGAATAAAAGAGTGTGGGTGAAAAAGTGGTGGTGGTGGGAAATGTAATCAAGCAAATAATCTAAACATAATATATAAAAATGTATAAATGATAAATATAGATAATAAATATTAAAATAACATTTCTACAAATGTATACAAAAATATTTGTGTTTCAGATGACTCAGAAAGATCTGGCTTTTGTGGCTGACTTCCTGTCTGAACATTTCAGTGCTGTGAGTGAAAGAAAAGCACACTATTTTAACATTAAAGGGGTCATATGATGCGATTTGAAGTTTTCCTTTCTCTTAAACATTTGGTGAAACATATTCTTTCCCCCATTTCAGAATGAGGAGCTGTTTGATCGGAAAGGGAAGTATTTCAACGTTGAGCGTGTCGGACAGGTGAGGACCTTCATACATATTCTAGTGGGAGTTATTTTCCTCATTTCATTACATACTTGGTCTGTTGTTTTTTGCAGTACTTGAAGGATGAAGATGAAGACTTGATATCTCCACCCAACATGGAGGGCAACCAGTGGGTGACATTTGTAAAGCAGAGCACTCACCTAAAAGGTAAAATTACACCTTCATTATTAAACCACAAGACTGCTAATGTTATCTTATTGTTTTGCGAAAAAATATAAAATTGAATATGAGAAATGAATTACTTCTATGTTTGATTTGGTTGCAGACAGTCCGCTGCTCTTCCCCACGTACCCACAGAAGTCTCTGCACTTTGTCAAGAGAATGATGGAGGGGTCCATTGATCTGTGCTTACAGAAACCAGCCGTGAGTCTCTAAACAAACACACACACACAAGCGCACACACAAACTTGAATACTATCTCTCTAGCTCTGTAAATGGAATCACATTGACAGGGTTAAACACAACTTGAATACTCCAGGACAACAGTTTTACATGTTTGTAAAACTGTTCTGCTTTGACCCCACATGAAAATATTACCTCCGCTCAAAAATGTAGTGTTTTCTCCTTCACAAAATTGGACATTCATCCTGTCCTCTTTTGACGTCCATCCTGTTTTTCAGAAGATGCTCTAACTTGCTTTCTCACATACAAACTCCATCCATTATCGGTCTCCAGCACATATATATATCAGAAGCATTAACTACATTATCTGGATTGCTTCACCCTTCCTGCTGACCATTCTTTCCCAGAGCACTAATGCATCTGAATCCTAATCATACATCTGTGTGTGTTTTTCAGGAGGTGATTGGGCATTCAGTAACACAAGCTGTGTGTTTGCGATTGTACACTGTTCCTGAGAGGTAATCCATATTCTAGATTCAGTCTGTGATTTACCATACACAACCTAAACATTTAATAGTACACCTGGTTTTGGATTTACTAATACTAATAATATACTAATGATTTGTCAGGAAATAACTGATGATTTGATTTGAGTTAAAGAACCAGGGCTTACTGTTGACAATATGATGATTTTTGTGTTTTGTTTTTGATAGCTCTGAAAATACACCGAGATTGTTTGAGCTGCCTTCACTGTAAGTGGACCAGTCATATCCTTATAATTAGGCTAAGAATACTGTTTTGTAATGGTGAATTCTGAGGCTATAGTGCTTGTCAGTGACGTCCATAAGGCAATAACAGTATGTTGTTGATGATAAGAGTGCGTTTTAATGCAGGTGGAATGATAAGAAGGCTGGTATGCATCATGTAGTGTTCTGCATGCCAGAGATCTCGCCCTCTAAAATCTATATTCTGAGGAGAGCAACAGACCCCAGCAGGTACACATACCTCTTTTATTCTGTTCTCTGTTGTATTTGATTACAGAGAAAAATATAATGAATAGATTTTTTCCCACCACCTCTAACTGAATTAACATCCAGCAAAAATTCTTCTTAAAAGGTTTCTGAAACTTTAAACAGTATCATGACTGAATTTGTGTATGTGTGTTTCAGGTCTGTCCCTAATGGTCTGGTGGCCCTAAACTTCAACACTCCTCTCAATTCTAGTATAGATGATGAAACACCTGCGCCAACTTCTGCGTGAGTTCATCAGAGGGAGTAAAAAATCCCGTACTATGAAAATATTGCCATTATTTAATATTTGATGGTATATGCGTGCATGATTAAAACAAATTGTTTTTTAGTGACAGTTGCTACAGTTGCCTTGATGCCCGTTTTTATGACGACGAGACATTAACAGTGGTATTGCGAAGTCGGGAAGATGACGAGAATAAGATGCGTGTCCTTGCTCAGCTTCATCTAAACTCTGTTTTGAGCTGGAATGAAGAGTTCACTTGGGACCTTACGCTTAGGTACAGTATACTTGTTGATTTACACCAGTAACCTTTCATTTTGTATTGAATTATTTCTTAAAGAATTGTAGCATTATACATATATTGCAGTAGCCGTTCCAGCAATATACTAGATTGTAATACAGTTAAGCTTAGTTTGACATTGTGGCTCTCCACTATTGAATGTCCTGAATTAGCACTCTTTTGATGTGATGTCTTTGTTGTGGTGTGTGTTAGGCTGGAGCAGCAGACTGAAGGGATCCCAGTCCAGTGTTTGGCCTGGGGAAACCAGAGCAGAGAGATGGACAACCTCAAAGCTCAGTTTGTGGCAGTTAATGGGATCCGCAAGGTGGCCTGCGTGGTAAGACTCTACAACTTGAGGAAAATTTTTGCCATTTAGGAGAATAGTTTATATTGAAAATATTGATTGATGTATAAATACATTAAAAAAAATAAACAAAGAATAATTATTACAAAAGTGTTGCATTGTTGAAAATGAATGTAATATCACTTCCATTAATGTGCATTCATTTTCAATCATTTATTTCAAAATAATTTATAACTGTTTTTAACAAAGTCTAAGGAAAAACAGTTTCATTATTGAAAATGAATGTAATATTGCTGCCATTTATGTGCTTAATTTTTTTTTCAAATATTTAATTATTTAAAAACAATTAAATTAATATAATTTCGAGCAATCATAATCAAGAATTCAACTAATTGTATAGCATGTAAATGGTAAATAAATCTCTTATCTCTCTCTCATCAGCTCAGTGCCAATCTGAGACATGTACGTGTGTTCGAGATGGATGCAGAGGAGGAAGAGGAGGAGGAAGAGCGTGCTGATGAATCACAGGAAATGAGCTCAGACCAGGACAGATTTGAGGACACAATGACAAATCAGAGTGATGCTGGGGAAGGTGGAGATGGAGCAGGGGGGGCTGAAGATGCTCAGGTGGCAGGTCAAGGGTCAGGAGACATTTTGGATGAGACTGCAGGATCAGACACGCTTTGAACTCTGACCTGAGATCCAACATGTTCTCCACAACTGAACTATGGACTCTTCTGTTATTTCTGGTCTTGTTCTTTTTGTATTAAAAATATTTTGTGATAAAGATTATCTGTTGAACATTTCACATTCTCATTTGTAAATAAATGGATTTACTGTATAATAATCTTGGGTCGTATCAATCAAAACTTTAATTTAATATATCAGTGTCTTCTGTGAATTCTAGGATTAGGGTTTTCAGATGGGGTGGGTGGACACCTGAGGTCCATGAAGATACTGCTCTGTAGAAATGCACTATTCACAGTCAACCATGATTCATTTATATTCTATGACTGAAAGTTTCCAATAACAGCTTTACAGCGATAAAGTGAGTAGTATTCAGCTCGTCATGTGACCTAAACATGGCTGCCTCCATGTAAAATAAAACTACTTCTACAGAGTGCAACAGTCTCATTCTTTTCCTCCATCGGGATTGTTATTTGATGGTATATGCTTCTGTTGAAGCCATCAGCCCGTATTTTTTTTATTACTTATTTTTAAAATAATTGTGTTCAGCAGCAAATTTCCTGGTGAAAAACTACAGTACCCATGATTCTCTCCATCAAATATCAGGGAATCTTGACAAGCAAAATAACAACAGAACGTTTTAGTGCCTACCCACTTCCATGAAGTATTGTGATTTTTGTAGACTCAGTTTCCCTACATTGTCTAAATACTTATGGTTTTTGCAATAAACAGAAGATATGCTGTATTGTTTTTAATTTGATTGTCATTTGTAATGCTTCGGGGGATTGTAATTCTTTACCTCATTTAAACCAATGAGTACACAGACTTGTAGCTTTGTCTGATTTTCAATTACATTTTTGCTTCAAATCAAAGTTTGTAATGTGATTCACCTCATAGCTGCTAGGTTTGGTTCATGGCTTATAACTCTTTTACAAAGACTTTAAAAAAAAACTTTTGAAGTTCAGTCGCTGGGACTCTTAACTAAAATTAAATCCTAATTTATGTCAGTTTTCTTCCTACAAACATGTTGGTTTTGCCATTAAACACAAAAAAATTCAGTGTCTCATTGAAAAAATGAGACAAAAATCTAATGAAGCTAAAGTATTTCAGCATGCATCTCAGAAACAGCCAATGCAAATATTAGATGCAAACTTTGAACATGCAAAGATGTTCAGCCTATACCATATGTGGTGTGTTCAGGTACTACTGTTTTCAACTTAATCAAAGTAAAAATATATTTTTTTTGTGGAATAAAAAGTAGGCCTTAAGCATATTCCTTAGGTTTTTCCTGAGCTCTTGATACTGTATAGATATTTTCTATACAGTAATTTTAATGCAAAAACTTTGTAATGCAACCTGTCTCGGTTTTCTCAATGTTCTGACTAAGGCTCCAGGGCAGTGGCTCTCACCTCACTCTTTTTTGACTCCAAGGCCCCCCATTGCCCACAACAATATTCAAAGGCCACCTAGCCCTATTTTTTGTTTTAATTTCTAATTTAGTCCATGGACACTACTAGTTTCAGTAAATAAAAAATAAATAAAATAAATTCATTACATTTCTAGGAGCTAAAAATTTGTGCCAGACTTTATTAATTTACATGACTTTTCTAGAAAGGTCTAGAAATCCCACTTTTAAAATTAGGCTTAGTCAGATATCAAGGTTTTCCAAGACTGTGTGAATCCTGGTTCCTCAAAGGAAACAAACAGATGTTGAGGGGTGAATTAAAATAAGAAACATACTAAAATATACGTATATAATTGAATTCACCAGCAGCTAACTGTACACTTATTTGACATTTAAATATAGTTACATCGACAAAATATAGCTTTGGGTCATACATTCTGTTGTGGTGATTGATGAGGCATCTCTTCACAAGATCAAATGAATATTTGTTGTGCAAATACAGTTTACACTGAAATTGGCATCAGTGCTATTAAAATTTAACCTGAAGCATAATTGAGGACTGGTTTGTTTGCTCCGCAAGATGTATTAAATGGGGAATGTTTTAATCGATAGTAACCTGCAAAAAATACTTTGTAAATGTCCAAAATAAACTGTAAAGAGTAAAATAATTCGTTTGCCTTAGAAATGTAATTTAGTAAGTTAGTACAAATAGTTGGTTACAGTAGTATCCAGGAAAAGTGCAAAATCCCCACAATAATACGTAAGTACCGGTACATGATTAAAATACAAGCAGTGTTGGGAAGGTTACTTTGGAAATGTAATAGGTTACAGATTACAAGTTACCATACTTAAAATGTAATAGTAGTGTAACTTTTCAATTACTTTATTAAAGTAATGTAACTGATTACATTTGATTACTTTTCTAAATTTCTAATGTTTTCAACTGTTTATCATTTTCAAACATGGGTTAACCTTACAGTAGTATTCAACGGATTACTGTCAGACTTTCGAAATCCTTCATCGCTTGAATTAAGATTAAATTTCAATTTTACAGTAGACACTGGATGCAAAATTCACTTTTAAATGGTGTTTGCATATAAATGTATCTTAACAGTCTGTGGACACAACCACCCTACAATGATAAAAATCCATTCACTCCTTTTTTTAATCCCCCAAAAGCCACCACAAAATCAGACTTACTTTGAGATCATTCTAAGGTTAAATACATTAAAACCATAACAATAAATATTTTATTAGCTATGATACCGTTTTTGAAATCAAATATTTACATATCTATGACAGTAAACACTGGAATCTAACAATGCCTTGGAAAAAAACAGTTAATCTTTAAAAAATGAAGCATAGCTATACATAAACCCATATAGGAAATAAAAGAGTTATCGAATAAGCTTGTTCTAAACTCCTGAAACATTGTTGTTTCGTATTTTAGAGCAGTCACTGCAATTTATGAAAGAACTCAATTAAATCTGTATGTGGGAGTGTGTGTGAAAAAAGCAGATGTAACCCTCTTTGTAATCCTTAACATTTTCATAAGTAACTGTAATTTAATTACATATTTTTTCTCAGTAACTGTAACTGATTAGAATTACTTTTATTTTGTAATTAAATTACGTAATTCCGTTACATGTAACTAGTTACTCCCCAACACTGAGTACAAGTAGCCTACTTTAGTGTGTGTCGAGAGGGTTAAAGTGCGCGTTCCTGGTTCCAGGGAAGGGTCGCTCCCAAAACGTGCTCGTTCCCGCTGAGTCACGTGATGACGTCTCACTTCGAGCTTCAAGATTTCCCAGTGAGCGACTGGCGGACAGTAAAGATGGCGACGGAGCTTACGGTGTGCACGAGTTCCCGGAGAAGATGACGACGACAAGATTAGTAACTTTCGAGCCGCGGCGTTGACAGTGCTCCCTTTAAAGACCTTGCGACAGAGGCTCGCGAACTTGCTGACTTTGACGGTAGTTAAACAAACCTAACGGATACAACCGGCGCGCGGACATATCGTTGCTTTTGCCATGGAGGATATCAACGTGGGGTTCGGCGAATCGAGGGGTTTCGGAGGGGTTTTGGAAATCTCCCGGCTGAGCCCCAGACGGTCATATCACGGCAGCAGTTACGGAGGGGGTTATGACAGTGACAGCGCTTCTTGTGTCGCCTCGAACACGAGTCTCGCGTCTTATTACGATTCGCTGGATTTTATCGAAGACGGAGACACTTCGGTGCTGGACGAGGTGGAGATTCTCGATTTGGAGGACATGGATTGCCTGAACGAAGAGGAAGACAGCTGGTGAGTAACCTGCCGGGAGGCGAAGGTGTTAACCTCGATCAGAGGAATAACCTCTCTCTCTCTCTCTCTCACACTCACACACACACACACACACACACACACACACACACACAACACACACACCCTTCATGTGTTTGACAGGTGCGTGCAGCTGTGTGCGTGCAGACGCCACAGAGAATGACGCGTATTTGGAGGAATGCGCTTGATACATTGTTGATGCACACAAGTCTCTTTAGCTAAGCAAGGGCTGGGGTTAGTTTATTCAATGCATTGATAGCAACACAAAATCATCTGTTTAAGATTATTAGTGCCTTACGTCTGAGCATTTAGGAGCAACAGTTTGCTGACTGCATGTATTCAGTTCGCACTGCTTCTGATATGTGGGTCCTTCTCATCTGCCCTTCATATTGTTTCAGTACCTTTATAAATCTGCTGAATGACAGCCATGGTGTCATGCTTCAGTGATGTCATTAGAATCACACACAAATTATGTATTTGCATACGAATGTCCTTTAGATAAGGCCTCAAATATGATCGAGCAGATTAGTTACAACAGATGTACATACTTTTCTGCATGATCTGCATTGTATCTAGCTCATTTGTTTCAAATAACGTGAACTTTAATAGTGCAGTCAGGTTTTTATGAAATAAACAAGAGATGAATAGAATGCTGAGAAGTATCATTGCAAAGATGTGCAGTCATATGAGAAGCAATAATCTGAAGTTACTGCTTCTAATAATGACAATAAAAATGTGATGAAATTATATTGGACTTTGCTCAAGAAACCAAACATTTTGAAAACAGCAGTCCAGAGTGATGGCATGGATCAGCATGTGTGCGGTCTGCTGGTCCAAACAGAGTGGGTAACAGTGGAAGAATAAAATGTTCAAACAAGCAGTTCCTCCTGGAGTGATGAAACAACCTGCAATGACAAACAGTCCAGTCAGGCTGATAGGTGTCTGTTTAAAGTCCAAAACCACTGTTGGGAAGAATAAGTGCCAGCTAAATGTACACTATTGGCAGAATGAGCATGTCACCTGTTGGTGTGCCTCCGTTCTGATATGTACGACTGGAGTGTAAAAATAATGAGCACTTATTTGAAATCTTTTGTAACATTAAAGGTTTTACTCTCACTTTTGATCAATTTAATGCATCCTTAAAGTATTTCTCTTTCAAAAAAGTGCTTGTGTAGATGAATGTTATCCTGTTGCCTTCTGATTGCCTCAAGTCACAGACAGCTTCATCTTAACAGTTTTTGATCTTGTGTGGATTAATGTCTGTGTAATCCATTATTTGTGTTTGCTTTAATCAGTGTCTGTGAGATTCTGTGGTTTAGGTCAATTTACACAGACTCAGAATGCTGTAATCTGGACCCTCGATCTTGTTTGGCTGACTATCTTTCAGTGGCAGCAAAATGCTGGGAAATCCCTTCAACAGCTGGAGCCCAGCAGATCAGTGAGCTTAACACCTGTTTACCACTACAAATAGTTGGTAGGACAGAAAGTGTACTTGTCAAACCAAACATGTCAGAAATTATTACAGCAAGGATACGTAAATGATTTAATATTCTTAGTCATGATGATTTAAGGATGAGATAAAATAATTTTTAGTTTATTTGAGTTTATAATTGTATTGAATCAATGTAGCAGCCACCAGAGCACAGCTCTCAAAGTCAGATCTGTGCTTTTGTGATGTGAATAATGCATTTATACCAGGAGATCATCTCAGTTTCTGTCATATTGCAGGAGAAAGGCTTACTAGGAGAAATTATTCTAAGTGCCAGATTCTGCCACCAACACTGCAATCCTACATTGCCATCAGTCCTGATAAATAAATCCGTCTGGTTCTGTGCCATAACTAAACTCCAGTCTGACTGATCGAAATGGTTTGTGTCAGCATTAAATCAGTCATTGACTTGAGTGATGTGGTCCAGG